AGGAGGGGGAAGAACAAGGGAATCCGTGGCTGATATGTAGAAGTGAATGGTACTGTAAAATAAAATAAAAGAAAAAATATTTCAGTCATGAAGGAATCCAAAACTGATTTTTTCATCTACTCTTGATGTTATAAGGAAGTTAATAAAAAAAGTACATGATAAAAAAAAAGTTAATATAGAATCATGTAAAACAAACATGTAAAGGATAATATTGCAATGAGACTAGAATATGACTCAAAAGAAAACCTGATTAGTTTTGAGAGAAATGTGTTAAATTAATCCATGATTAAATATTATCAAATATTTAAGTTTTATTAAATATCATTTTTATTGTTTTCAATGACTAGCAAAATGTATGTGAGGTGTGTTAAAGGTACATTATACTTATGTGTAGACAGGAGACATTTCATTTAATTTTTTCCGCATATTTTCAATTCTATACCATAAACTGATGGGCTAGTATTGTGACTCATTCATTTCAACTAGATTCATATCTCATTAAAAATCAAAATTTAATGCCTGAAGCTATTGCATACTCAACACTGAAATTTAATCAAGTTAAAACTGTGGTCTTCTGTCTTTATTGGGCAGTCTCAGAAAAAAAAAAAAAAACTTTAATCAAAATAGCCACAAATTAGTGCATGGCTATCTACAAACTACAGTTCAGCCGTGTGTATGAGCAGAACAAATTAATCACCACAATACAGAAGGGAAACATCATAGGAGAATTAGCAGCAACATTAAGCTCTGCTGTAACTTCACACTTTGGGAATTAATGTAGTATTAGCAAAAAAAAAATGGTGACATAATTCTATGGAAGAAATATGGAGTTTAGAAACTGATCTCCAAAATAACGGTAATTTACTATTTAAAATAAAGCAAAACTATGTCAATGGAGAGGGTCTTTAAAGACTTGTATGGGAACAACTAGATACTCCCATGGGAAAAAAAAGTGAAAAACAAGAAAGGATTGGAGGCCGAAAGGAAGGGCGTGAGTGAGGAAGAAAAAGAAGAAGAAAACAACACAGCTGTATATTGGAGCTCCATTTTCTCTCACACACACGCACATAGATCACAGACCTAAATTTATTATCCAAAGCTATAAAACTTCTTGAATAACATGGGAGCAAATCTAATTAACCTTGTGTTTGGTGATAGGAATTTTAGATATATTAAGAAATGTAGAGTATATTAAACTCAGTAAGTTAGGCTTCTTTGAAGTGTTTTTGTTGTTTTTGTTTACACATTAAGTGATTAATTTAAAAGCAAACCAGAGAATGGGAGAAAATGCTCAGGGAAATAGATATCTGATCAAAGACTCATATCTCCAGATTACAAACAACTGACAAAAGTCAACGATAAAACTGAAAGTCCATTCTTTTTCAAAAGCAACCTCTAAGTTTTGACTAATTTATGATTTGTGAAAGCTGCCATAGCAGATTCCTCAATATCAGTGGCTCAAAAACAGCAATTTAGTTCTTCATAATCCCATGGTCTCACATCCATATTCAAGGTACTAGGAAATCTGCTTCATTCTGGGGGCTCTGAGACAGTATGTTTAATTGACTTGACATTAACCTTTATCAATCATTGGCTTCTAGGAGTATTACCCTTCTTTTTGCCTTCCATTTTGCTTACCCAATGCTCTTGCCTGTGTTTAAATTTCCCCCTTTTATGAAGACACCAGCCAGTTTAGAGGAACAGTTCATTTTTACCAATGATTTCCTCTGAAGGATCTAACAATGACCCTATTTGCAGAAAAAGTTTCAAAATGAGATACTAGAAGTAAGTACTTTAGAATGTGAACTGTTCAGGGAGCTGATTCAACCCACCACAGATATTTGATCTTTGTTCTTAAGCAAAGAGGTAATACAGTTGAAAATAAACATATTAAAAATCATTCAGTATTCTATACAGAAAAGTGAATTAACAGTGAATACCATCACACATTTTCTGGGATGATTGAAAAGCAGCGATCACATTAAATATCATTGAGCATGTGGAGAAGCAAGACGTCTCATTATTTACACTTGGGAGAGCAAAATGATGTAGGTCCAATGGGAGACAATTCATTTTCATGAAGCTAAGCATAGTCCTGTACACTAACAAAATGTAAGTTCACATACATACTCTCAAAAACATACCTTAAGATAAATGTTTATATTTATCCTAACAATTGTGTAATATTGGGAGTTGTTGTTGGATATGTGAAATGTGGTATATGTATTAAATAGAATATACTCACATTCTGTCATAGAATAAATCATAAATAAATCTTACATAGAACAAAATCTAACAAAGCTTGCAAACCAAAAATATCTATGATTTTAATTATCATTCTTGGGTAAGTAGAAAGGAATGAATTGGTGGATCGGAATTAAGCTTATACTAATCATACTGTGCTGTATGATGCAGTCATGGTAGATACACACCATTTTACATTTTCAAAATTCTTAAGTGCCATGCATATTAAATATAAGCTAACCATAAGGTAAACACTTGGTTTATTTTTTTCTTGGTTATTTATTCAGAGCCTACAAAATAAAATCTTTATTTATATTGCTTTCTTTCTTTCTTTTTGCATTTCACTACATCTTTTTATATTTCCAAAGAAGGATAGTTTCTAGCAAAGGTAATAGAAAAATGATACCATGTTATGATGAATCCTGACACTTAAATTTTCATCTGCATATCTCCTTTTTCCCTTGATCATTGCAATGGCACACAGGATGGGATCATTCCCTTGTCTGAAATTTTGCAACCTGAGGTTTAGATATTTCAATATCTGTCTACTTTTACAGTTATTAATTGAAGAATTAGAATTGGAATCTCACTATAAAATGCATCTGTAACTATTTTTGTTACTGTGTTCAGTAACTTAATTTTATGGTTTGTGTCTTCAATAACACTCATATATTTCCCATAATAAACAAGAGATAGGTCATAATTATTGTCCTTGAGACATTTATAACTGATTATATTCTGCTTAAGACTATGACAGTCAAAAATATGTAAGATGTTCAGGAAGTTTCCAAATAATAATGACCTCAAAAGTAATAAATATCAGGTAAAGTGACAGTTTAGATGGATGACTAATCAATTTACCAGTCTACCAATCTGCACCCTGAGAACTTTAAAATTCATTCTGATAGTCCTATTGCAACAATTATTTTTATGAATTGTGTATTTTTGGCTAAGTGAAAAATGCAATAAAAGAATAGAATTTATGAAAGGTTTAATAATTACTGGATACTCAAAATATTACAGAGTATATGAGACTGGAGTTGGGGTGTCAAAAATAAAATTTATGCATTAGATAAAAGAAGAAATGTGTATGAGAGTGACTGGAATGTGAAAAAATAAACAAACAAAACCACTACTGGGCAATAAGGGCTATGGCATAATTAGGAGAATTAAGCCAACAGGAATACCAAACAAAAAAATCCATTTGTGCCAACTGCCAGGAGAATTCCACAAATCACATCAAATTGTGGCATGAAGGGCACCTTGGAAATTCACCATTCTCCTTCCCCTCTTCCTTGCAAAATAGAGCACCAAAGAAACTAATTATACAATATCAGATAGAATAGCTAATTTCCATTTCATAAAAAATTCTACCTTCTAGGATGTTTTTCAAAGTTTAGCTAAAAAGAATTCAACTTTAGCTTCCGGTAGTCATGCTTTGTAGGCCTCTGGTTTCCCTAGTGTCTTTCATGTCATGTTAGAATTTGAGGACAATCTTAATCAAGTATAAGGATGATGTCTATGTATTTCAGTTACATATGAAGTTTTCTAAGTAAGTATTTTTGTGTTTTATTAAAGCAGTTCCATAAGCCAATTCTATTGAACTTATATGAATTTTAATTTTTTAGTGTCTTTAATACCAATTAAGTTCTAATGTTACATTTCCCTTTATATGTTCTTAAATCAGCATGTTTCAAACAGCTTAACACTGTAAAATATAGTCTTGCTTTAAAATTAAAGATAAGTCATATTTCTTTAGTAAATTACTAAACCTGAATTCTTTAGACTTATTGGGGTTTTTTTCTCCCTTACATGATCATGTGAAATATCAAATCAAATAAAATTTGGAGAAAAATATTAATGAGCATATATAAATTCAGATTACTGTTTCAGACAATGGCTTTACAGAACACCTTATGAATCATAGAACATTTTCAAAAAAACAAACTGAGATATCATTGCATATTTTATGGTTTCTAAAAATTTTTTCATCCATATTTAAGTGAAAATTTAGATATAATTTACATAATGTGATTTTCTTTTCTAGTGTTTGTTCTAAAGCATCCACAGTTAATGCCTACTTTCAGATTCAAATAATGCTAAAAGAAGCATCATCTTGCTGGGAGGTGGTGGTGTATACATTTAATCCCAGCACTTGGGAGGCAGAGCTAGGTGAATCTCTGTGAGTTCGAGAGGCCAGCCTGGTCTACAGAGTAAGATCCAGGACAGGCACCAACACTACACAGAGAAACTCAGTCTCAAAAAACCAAAAAAAAACAATAAGAACAACAGCAAATCATTATATTAATGAAAAAAATTATAAGTAGCTGGGTTAAATAGGTCATTTTATAACTGGAATGTTATTCAGTGGATACTGCAAGGGTCTCAGTGTTTTTTTGTTTGGTATATTTTGTTTTCTTTTTTGAGACAGGATTTCACTGTGATGTGTAGCCCTGGAACTCCCTATGTAGACCAGGCTGGGCACAAACTCAAAAAGATCTGCCTGTCTCTGGTCTCTGCTTCCCGAGCGCTGGGGTTAAAGCATGCACCTCCACTGATCAGTTTAGAGAAATATATTTTTAAGTATTTCATTAGTCATAAATACACAGTTGAAATTGTATTTACATGTTCAAAAGCCAAAAGCTAAAAAGACATGAAACTTTCAAAGTGAATACACAAAAGCATACCATATATTTTAATGTTTATAATTTAGTATGTATCAAATAAATATATTTATAAATGCATCCTTTATTTGCACTGTTGTTATTATTAAAGCATGTATCTATAACATGTAAAAAAATATTCCAAGTGCTTTAAGGGAAAAATAACATATCATTTAAGGATATAAACTAAACTTCAATGTGTGATGACACAATATGACTAGACCAGAAAAGAGGCATGCTCCTCTGTTGGTTATATTATTACTCCCGCTAACATGGCTTCTATGGTTGTCAAGTACGGACTCATACTTTTTTCAGTCGTTGTCAGAACCATTTGGGGGTAAAAAAACCAAAGCATCACTGAAAATATGTCCAAATGCCCTAAGACGGTACACCCCATACATCAACACATGCATCTGATCAGGAGTCAGTCTACTGAAAGTAATGGCCATGTCAGAACAGCATCCACCTACTATATCATTCGGGTAATCAGTAATTGCTTCTTTAATAAACATCCCAATAGTTTTGGTATTAAATAAATTTTTTCCTTCATCATCTTCAGCATTTTCTGCAAACACTCCTGCATTTCTCAGACAGAGAGCAAGCAGCACTTCTTCAGTCATTTTCCAAATCTGTCTTTCCTCTTCCGGACACATTTGAGTGACAGTGAGAAGGTGGTTGAGTCTTTTTATCGACTCTATACTTAAGACAACTCCTCCCTCAAGACGCACATATTCAAGGCCTCCTTTAATTTCAGTTTGACCTAGATAGAAAGGTTGTGATGGATCTTTTCCTAACAAAAAATACTTTAAGTTTTCGATTACAGCAAATGTAGTGGGATATGCGAGAAAGAACCAATTATATTGGTCCTTGTATTTATTAAAGGCATATATGTAAGCCATTCTCAACATCAACCAGGTGTCGCTCTCATTCACAGCAACAGACTCAAAAACTTTAACACGTTCAGAACTGAAGAACTCTGCTGCATCACAGTGTTTGATCCAAGTCTCCTTCACTGCGGCCCACAGACTCACATCTTTGGGGGTGACAGGAACGAGACAGTATACCCGGAAGCTGTTACTGAGTTCCACGCGTTCAGCTTCTGACATTTTCAAGATTTCTTCTTTGTTAGGAGCTTGCAGGTGATGATGCTCATGGTCGTGCATTCCGTTTCTGCGACCTAGTCTAATGTGTCCAAGTATTGTGATCAAGGCAAACACGGTACTTCCTAGCATCACACCCTTCAAAAATGAGCTGCATTCTGAAAGCATCTTTTTTAATTTGAAATTTCTCGGCAGCAGAAAGCACAGTCAGTCACGTATGGCTTTCCAAACGAATCCAAGGTATTCTCTTATACTACTGAACCGGAAGTAACTAATGCAAGTGATACCCTCCTGTTTATCTCCTGAAAGGAAATAGTTTTGTAGGAAGCTGGGGGCGGGTGTCTTAAAAGTACGGAAAGCCTGAAGGGGCAAAAGAGTTTCGCTGTCAACCCCCATGGAGGAGCTCTTCTCTGACTAGGACAACCAAAGGGCTCTTGAAAATTACCAGGGCACCTGGTCCCTTTGACCCTGCAAATAACCACAGCTACTTTGTTTAGCTACCAATAAGTATCTAAAAACAGAATAAAACTTGATTCTCAATTGTTGTGAGGTCAACCATAACAAGTCCGGTTATTTGCCTAAAATGACTAGCACAGATATGGTGTGGGGGCAGTGGTAAAGGTATATAATCATCAGCCATGTCTTCAGGGCACCGACATGAGCTTCACTATGTTTTTTGTTTGTTTGTTTGTCTGTTTAGTTCTGTTCACAAAAGGTTGTGCAAGAATCAAAAATAAACTATGACTGAAAATCAGAAGCAAGAGATTCAATAGATTTACTACAAATTCAGAATTCCATTTCTATATTCAACTAAAAAGACAGATGTATATGAATATGTGCAAACTTAATAGCGACATTTTGCTTTATACTTTTTCTGTATTATTTCTCTTTTCATTGCTAAGCTTTGCATACCCAAGACCTTTCCCATATTCTAGACACTTATTCTGACATTGAAATATATTCCCCCAGGCCTTAGAAATTTTCTAGATTACTGAGTGGATGTGCATTTTGTAGCTAATATGTTTCATTTTTCACCATTGCTCCTAGTTTTCTGATGAAAGTTTGCCTGCTCTTCCAGATTATATGTACTCTACCCATCTTTTATAATATATTGATTCTACATTAGTATATTGAACACAGATATACCTAGGCTCATGTGTAACTATGGATGCTTACATTAATACGTCTTCTATTACAGACTACACATAGTTTATTGTTTTACCTTTGGGGCATCCAACAATTAGTAAAATATTCTTTATAGCAGCCATAATAATTTATATTGTATTATTATTAATTAATGCCTAATTGTTAATTTACTTATACAATGTCGTAAGCATTTAACATTAAATTTATGACACATTAGTCTAATTAACTATTTCTTTGAAAAAGTTTCTATTTTTTATAAAAGCTGGAATGTTTTTGGAAGTGTTACTGGGGAGAGTGAAAGGCTAATTTAACTTTACTGAGTCTAATATAGCAGGACTGGGTATGTGCCTTTAATGAACAATGTTAAATAATTATTAATTCAATTAAAACATTGTAGTTTTGAATAGAAAATAATTAAGCAAGACACCCTGCAATTAGTGAGACATGCATCAATAATCTATTTGTCATTACACAGAAAAACAGAAGGTAGTTTAGAAAATGCAATAAAGACAAATTCATAGCCGTTGAGGTTATAATGCAGCTGTTCTATGTAAAGGTGAATAGCTAAACAAGTTTTTATGATTTCTGATTTTCTGGGATCTCAGGAAACCTGCAAATATTTCATGAAGCCCTTTAAAATGAAGTTAAAGAATGCCTTCATAATGTATTCAAAAGCATATATTAAATACCTACCACATGTTAGGGCATTTTTTTTCTCTGCTCTCTCCTTTCCATTTCATACTTGAAATGCTTGTGTGCCTGCCTAATTATATTATGACTAGAGAGCACACAGGGGCTCACTTTCACTGAAAGAAAAATAAAATTCTAAGCTTATGTAATGCTCTGAAAACGCACACACACACCACCACCACCACCACCACCACCAACAACAACAACAACAAAACCTTATAGCTTGATAAAATGCCAACAGATGCAAATTGATTTTCTTAACTGAATTCCCTGGGAGAAAATCTCAAACTCCTAAAGTTCAAGGTGACTCCTTGTGTATCGAGCAAAATATTTGTTTTAGAGACATCTAACCCCTCATTAGCTAATTTTCTATTTTTTCCTTTGTCTTAACATTAATCAGATTGAAATCCAGTTATATATTTAACTTCCAGTACATGAATTATTGAATAGATTTCTTTCCACTATTTAAGTATTTAATATGAAATACAGAGACCTTGAACCATGTGTAGGCAATAAAACTATAATCCTAGCTGTAGGAAGCCTGAGGAAGAAGAGTATGATTTCACAGGCTGCCAGGTCTATATAGAGAGGTTTTCTCTCAAAAATAAACACACCAACAAATTAAAAGGAGCACATTGGTTTTGCCAGTATGTATGTATGTATGTGATGTGCCAGTTTGTGTATATAAGTCCGTTTATTTGTGTGAGTCCTGTCAATTGAATTCTTGGTCTTCACTATACCTTATCTATTGATGATGGCTTTCTCAATTAAAGCCAGCATTGACAACTCAGCCAATCTCATTACCCATCTTTGTTTGAGATTTTGTCTCAGTATCAGTAATCCTGGGATTACAGATTGGCTGCCATACTGCTCTGGTAATCATAGGAGTGTAATGCTTACGTGTTCAGTTTCTTCCTCTTTCACTACAATGTTTTACCTACTGAGCCATCTGTATACTCCAAGCCATACTTGTATGTAGAAGCATGATAGCTTAATGAAAGATGGTGATTTAAAAAAATTAATCTAAAGACTATTACTTTAAGTAACAATTTGACTTAAAAAATTCCTTAAACAAACAGATAAATAAGTCTTCTTCTGATTAATGTTTAAATATTTCCCATAACTTATATTTCATTTTTAATTTGATAGTATCTTTCCTTGAATGCACATTTCTTTTTTACTCACCCTTCCAATGTGATAGATTTTGTCATGGAACAAAAAATCTGGTTAGCTCTTCTTATTGTAATTACTGTAACCTTTAATTTCTACTAATTGTACATTTACTATTTGTCAATTTTAAATCCCTCATTTCCCTCCTGTTTTGAATTCCTTTACTTTAAATTATTGTAATTCTGATTTTTGTATTAGCTTTTGTTATTATCCCTTCATCAAGTTTTACATGTACATTTTTAAATTTGTTTGTGGCTACCTAAAACCTAGATACTTTCATAATTAATTCAAGCATAATCTGAAATACTTCACACAAATTTCAGGACAAAAAAAGTAATATATAAATTGAAATCTACCCTTCTTACCTTTTGAATTATTTCTGTGCATTCAAAGTTCACATCCTCACTTGCTCTGTGCAGACGAGGCAGTCATTTAGGTCTGTGTGAACTGGTCACAGAGTTTCACTGTCCAGTGCCATTCTTTGTTTTATGTAGGGATTATCATGTTAAATACTTTGGGATAATTTACTTTATGCACAAATTGAATATGGACATAAAACAAACCAGTAAAACAAAATATGGTCAGAGATTATGCAAGGGAAATACATTCAAAGTTACAATCTTGCAAAAATTTATAGTAGTTTATTCTGACATCTTTAGAAGACTTCTGAGAGGTAAGCAATTGATACTTTAGAAGTTTATTAATCAACTGTAAATTTCACCAGATAATAGTAGCTAGTTTTCTAAAATCTTACCTGAAATATTCCCACTTTGTAGTACTACTTTGGTTAAATATATTTTGCCTGGATGTGAAAATTATCTGACAAATAAACTAAGAGAGGTTTTAAATGTCTCTAAGACATCTAAATCTTTGTCATGGTTCATTCCCCACATGGTGAGGAAGTCGTAGTAGTTGAATCCTGAGATGCCTGATCAATGTACAGGGAAAGCCAGAAAATATGGAGAAAAGAAGGTTCCTGCTTATATGTTGTTGTGGTTTGAACTGGAAAAGTTCTCCATATGCTCATTCATTTAAACAACCAGTATACAGTCAATAGTACTATTTGGCTTTTCCTTCCTCGTTAAACTTCTCTGGAAACTCTCAAAGATACCCAGAGTTTGGTCCCTCAAGTGATTTTGAATTCCAGTAAAGTTAACAATGAATATTAGCCATCTTAGTTCTTATTTTTTCTTATTAGAGATCTTAAATCCTCAAATATCTCAGTCACACATGCTAGGAACAACTCTTCAAATTTTTAACTGATCCTCTGCATTAGGAATATAGAAAACAATGCAGAGTATCGTGGGCTAAGTAGTTTAAACTAGGTTTTTCTCACCTACAATTCCAAAGTCTATTAGTGCATTATTGGTGTTTGTTGAGGAGTGTGTGAAGACACCTATCTTCTTTTTCTCCACGCCTGTTCTCACGCAAACCCTCTCTATCTATGCTCCTTCACTTTAATGGACTCTCCTTGTATTGGATTTCACTCCTACTTTATGACCTCATTTGTTCTTAATTATCTCCTTAAGGGCCCTATTTCCACATGCAGTCAACATTAGAGGTTTGGCTTTGACCTCTAACTCAGGGAAGGCACAAATGGACTATTATAGGTACCCTTATCTAATATTATAAAACCACCCAGTTTCAAAAAGGCACAATGTAGTCCATTATAGAACCTTTTATCTATTTCATTATTTTAAACACCTTTAATCTCATAGGTGTAACAGCAGTGCTATTTTATCAAATGAACAATTTAATTCACATATTACCAACTCTTTATTAAGTTGTCTTTGACAAACTGATGTGTGTTCTTTCTCCTGACTGAACCTGATATACATACCTCTGAACTAATATTGACCTTGGCCATCTGACATGGTGTGAACAGGTTTACAGAAGCTTAATGGACACAAAGTGCAATTATACTTGCCCTTTTGACCCTTTCACAATTGCTGTGAGAACTTGGAGCTTTCTGGAAGTAATTGCTGTCCCTTAAGACTGATGCCTAAAATAATAGCTTATAGAACCCTAGATTCTGCAGGTCAGTGTGCACTACAAGTTGGAAACAGATCTCAGAAAATAAATCACAATTATATATTTAAAGTAGAGATTCATTTGTACTTATAATATTTCCACAACAATATATTGGTGTAATACCTCTGTCATACTGTTTTCCTAGTATCTGCAATACTTGGATCTTCTCTCTTGTATATGACATAGAAACCCATGTGAAAGAAAAAAACTAAACTCATAGCTCTCAAACTGTGGATCAGCTAA